TACCTGCTTAACAAATGCCCAAGACTGTCTCCCATACATCATTGTATAATACAGCGTTGTTAATATGTGCACACTCCTGCTCTTCAGATCTCTAGAATTTTCCTTCTTACAGTGCTAGAACTTTTTATACTTTGGAAGGCAACACCTTGGCTCCTCCCTTTCTTCCCCCTACATATGCATTGGCATAGAGCTGTTCCCCAGATCACTTCTATCATATCCAGTCTCGTTTTCCTCCCTTCTGGTCTTAATTGTACATTTGTCATGGGTTATTTACACATAAAGATGTTATATCTTTCGTGGTCCTGTGCCTTGCACTCTGCTGGGCTCCTTTATGCTTTTCTCATTTAATCCTGTAATCAACACTCTGGTGGGGGTCCATTAATATCTCCTCCTCCTGGAGACGAGAAAGGTTGAAAAATTCAGTAACTTCCTCGTGTTTTCAAGTGAGGTAAAAAACTGAACATTCGCATTAAAGACATCTACACCCAGAGTCTATCCCATTAATAATTTGATAACCTAGCTCCCATTCCTTCTCCAATATCCATTGCACATCTGTTTTTGTTTTTAGACAGAGTTTCACGTGGCCCAGGCTGGTCTCAATCCCTCTGTAATTGAGATGACCTTGAACTCCTGATTCTCAGGCCTCTGTCTTCTATGTGGTAGATTATAGGAATGAATCACACTGCCCAGCTCCCCAGTGCAGATTTTATGTAAGGATAAGCTGGATAGCGAATCAAAGCAGAAGGAAGCAAAAGCAAAACAAGACCCAAGAAAGCCCTCCACGGGTTTTCCCTCCACCCTGTCCCTTTCACATTGTCAAAACTACAAAAACACAGAATGCACACAATCTCAACAGCCCCCGCTGCAGCTTCTGGGCCTGCACACTAACAATTACGAACGGAGAGGCGAAGATGCTCCGCTCCTTTGCTTCTGCAGAGCCTGCCTCTCTTACCCTTACCAAGAGTCTCACGGCTAGTTCATAAATGCATAGTCTACGGATTATTTAATTGGAATGCTGTTAAAAATCCCTCCGAGGACTGATGCAGACTTTCAATTCGACAGGATCGTTTCCACTCCTTGTACCTCTCTCATTACACCACTTAATGCTTTGACCCCATAGAACTTTGGATGGAAACCTTCACTTAACAATAAAATTTGTGTGGCATGATATTATTTCCTCTATATATTTGGCATAATGATGTGTAAAGCACAGTTTACCCTGAGGCTTAACTCAGGACACAGCATTTCCTGGCTTACTTGTGTTAGTAGTATGTTCTCGTTTTTCCCAGCACCAACAGGTAACATTGTGTGTTGATTTTTATTTGATTCTTATTAATTGAGTTCTTGTCCTCTAGGTCAGAGGTAGAAAGTGAGTTCTAGGAGTAAGGGTTTCTTAAGGCTACTGTTATTTTTTTCAGTGAATTTTGTAGACATGTTTTAAGAAAGCACGGAGACATGTTTTAAGAAAGCACGGAGGACTCGGTGTGTGTTCTGGGGAGCTGGCAGGATTGCAGGACTTCAGGGCATAGTGAGGCTGTCTTTTCAAGCTTCAGTTTCCTTATGTGCAAAGTGCAATAACCACACTTGTTTCATGGGAATTATGTGAGGTTTGGATAAACTGTCAGGTGACATTCCTTGCACTGGTTAAAAGTGTAGGCTACATTTCCCAGTTCTTTCATTCTTCTCAGAAAGCAGGATTGAGACATCGGAGCCATGAAAGAGACAAAGCTGCAGAGATCCAAGTATATAAAAGGTTTTTGGAAGAGCAAGTCAGAGAAAGGTTGCAATAAAAATGTACTCTTGCAAACAGAAGTTCTGTAAAAGCCCTGCACCCTGTCAATATGCCTTATTATATGTACATTGATTTCTATAGCTAGACACTCTACCTCTGAGCTATCCCTCCTAAATTCATTTCTATATATATATACACACACACACATATGTGTATCAGGGTCTGTGCACATGTTAGTGTTGGTGTGTACACCTCTGTGTGTGTACATCATGTGCGTATGTGTGCAAACATGAGTACACACAGAAAGAGAAAGAGAATTCATTGTACAAGATATTTGATGGCAAATTTTATACAGAGTGTTGTAACTCATGGGGTATAAAATAAAGTCCATTGAGGATGGTGGCCTTATCTTCTAATTAAAATCATAGGCATGGAGCTTTTTATTTCTGCATAAAATAAGCAGTTTAATTCTTCTGTGCCAGGGATGATGACTTCCTTTCACAATGCATGACCAACCCAGTGGGTTGATACCGTGTGCTGTGAGGAAACTAGTTATTATGAGACCATCGTTCTTTCCTGGTTACCTATGCTCTCGGACTCTACAAGCCCTGCAAGTATCTCTCCTAGTGTCCTCTTACAGCCCCGCCCTCCCATCAGGTCCCCTGTCCCTTTAGAGTTCACAGGAGGAAGAGACTGCTGTGTGTCTACTAGTCCGTACAAGAGCTTTGCCCTGAATTTTCACATATGAACGAAAAGGTTATTGAACTGCATCCATTAAAAAAAAATCGTGCTTATAACTAATGATGTCTTATCTCAATTATGTCAAAGCAAGTATTTGAGAAAAAGCCTGATCTTATTTTGGAAGGAGGGAAGGGACAAAAGAGAAAAAGAATTGTGAATCTCAGCAATTAAAAGACCCCTTCAAAAGCTTGCTTTTAAAAAGCATGCTAGTTAACAGTTTTATTTAACAAAACATAGACAGGGGTTTTCTTTTGTTTTTTTTTTGTTTGTTTGTTTTTGTTTCTGTTTTTTTAAACTTTTTTTGTTGTTGTTATTCAGTCCCCATGTTTTACACCATGTAATGTTAACCTGAACAATGGTTGGCCATACACCACAAGGGTAGAATTTAGTAGGAGATAGATATGCTTGCTCAGTCAGTCACTCTGCAAACAATAGCAACTTGTGGAAGTTTTTGACTGAGTCAGTTTTCTTACTGTGAATAATCGCAACGATCAGGGAGAAAACAGATTCGATGTTGGGATTCAGCCAGAAGTCAGTCCACAGGCGGTGGCAGAGGCATGTCCCACACTATTAAGAGTACCACATAAAAGTCTGGCCTGGCCGTACATGCTTGGTAACTGCAGTACTCGGAAAGGGACACAGGAGGATTCTGGGAGATCACTGGCCAGGTATCCTATCCAAAACAGTGAGATTTCTGTTCATTGAGCAACCCTGTCTCAAAACCTAATATAAGAGATACAAAATGTCTGTCCTCTGCATGCAGGGGACAGGGCACACCCTCCAACTTTACCTATAACATACACACACACACACACACACACACGACAGACACACACCACTCAAAAGATAAGACTGGATTTAGGAGGAGAATGAGAAAAAGAAGACAGACATCAATGCTGGCACACTCCTTCTTATGAGTGGCTGTGGAAATACTGAGTAGCTGAGAGTGGCGGGGCCTGAAGTACCACTATGGGGTGTTTTGTATTCTAGGTTTTCTGAGTAGAGTATCAAAGCGGAGAACTGTGGATGGCTGTGCTTACAGTCCCGAAACTAAGATCGAGTCTGGGATGAGTGATGCTCATTTGGGGACTTAATGTGTGCTAGAAGATGCCAACTGAAAAGAGAAGGAAAGGAACAGAGAATAAAAGTAGTAATGAGTAATAGAGATCACAGTCACATTAAAAGGAAAAGTCAAGCAAAGTCCGACGTTCAAAAGATGAGAAGGAAGATCAGATGAATGTGGTGTTCCAGAAAGAGATTCCTTCAGAAAGGACAGAAAAAGTCGCCAAATACTAAAGAGTGTCAGTGTCTGTCCAATGGCCTTAAGCACCACAAAGGCAACCATTTCCGAGTTAGTAAATGCCATCCAAGCACTCTGGGTAGGAGCTGAACCACCTTGGACAGAAAGTTAAATAGTCGAAGCAATGCCTTGGTCAAGAGCACAGTTCACATTCTGATCATGAGCCTAGCCTTTAAAGGCTGAGCCACGGCTGCATCAGGTGTGTTAGCCGGAACAGTGCTGGAGAGCTCACCTGGGGCTGAGGATGAGGGAGAACTGGTTCACTGACCCCACCACCGAGACTCAGAAGCAGGGCTACAAGTTTGCCCTTCCCAACATCCACTGATCTGGGAGGTGCTGGAGCTCGTGAAGGGGCTGGTCCAGCAAACCCAAAACTGCAGAATCTCCATGACATAAGGCAACAACAGGACAGCCAAGAGGGGTCCAAGTGAGGGCCTAGTGTGGCTAGTGGAGCAGGAACCAGAGGCCTCAAACCAGACCGATGACTTGTTGTAGTGATCACTTGCAGATACGATGTATGGACTGGAAGCGTATATTTGCGACTCACCGTGTTATACTACAACGTCCATGACGAGATTTTTCTTTTCTTTTAAATTTTATTTGACCTAGGGGGAGTTGGCTTCAAGGGCAGAGGATGGATTCAAAGCAATAGGGAGGTGAGTGGGATCAGGATGCAAAATATGAAATCCACAAAGAATAAACAAAAAGTTAAAATAGAAAACAAAACAAACAAAGAAAGAAACGCAACTTATATCATGTGTTGAAGGGTACTTTGGGTAATGTCAGACTCAAGTTAATATTGAAAAAACCAAGACTCCCACAGTTTAAGAGCTTCCCCATGCCACAATACGTATAAGACTTTTGAGATGCAAACTTTCCTGATGCCAAAGCCTTTGGATCATCCTGCTTCTCTACTTTGCTTGGGTGTCAACCCCAGGGCAGCAGTATTTCCTAAAGGACCTCTGTGGATTTGTGCTTTGGGCAATTTCTCTAACAAAGGTATCGTTGAGTTAGAACTAGTGTCAAAGGATGGAGGACCATCATTCCTGTGCTCATCACTTCGAAGATTAATTAATACGAACTGAAACCTCCTTTCGTATGTAGACCTAGACTCACACCCTATTCCAGCTCAGTAAATCTGGGGAGAAAGGAACAATGTGTATTATTCATGCTCATTCCACCCTACTAATCCCGTCCTTACTTCCGCCTCTGCTTTGTCATTAGATCATGCTTCTCAGCGATCCGGAGATGGAGAGCAGTATACTGATCAGCTCAGATGAAGGGGCAACTTACCAGAAATACCGGCTCACCTTCTACATCCAGAGCCTGCTCTTCCACCCCAAGCAGGAGGACTGGGTGCTGGCCTACAGCTTGGACCAGAAGGTGAACAAACACTGCTCATGTTTATAAGTTGTTGCCTGGGGTCTCCTCTGTGAAAAGTACTTGTTTGTTCTGCTTAGATTTTGGAGAGAATTGGTGACATTTCATTATTCCAACCATGTTGGTTTTGTCTTTGGCAATAAACTTTGCTTTCTTACTCTTCAGTGTCAAAATATATAGGGGTAGGTGTGTGTGTGTTCATATATGTTATTGGCAATATTTATTTTTCATTCATAGTCTTATAATGACTTCCTCTAACATTTAATCACTTTACTTTCTTTTCTAAGTCACTGTGAGGTTGGGAAGGGGGGTGTCATCACTGTGGTTTTGTAGTGACACCCTCTAACAAAGGTGCAGGAGTCAGTGTTCTTGTCCGTCCTCTTCCATCTTTGAGCTGGGGGAGCTAGAGTGAGAATGACTACTGTCAGGTTCTGTATCTAGGGTGCATTCCATCATACTCTGCTGTCTTGATTTGGTGAAATTTTAGTATACCCTTGCTTTCTAGGGGTGTAAGGGAAGCGTCAAGAAAGTCTCTGGTATTTTCTGAAAATAAATTAAATGTAGTGGCCCCAGAGCACTTCTCTTTCAACCTGAAAATCCATGTGTTCTGCTATGTACCTGACATTGCCTCCGACATGCTTCAGAAACTTCAACATACCTTATAAAGAACTCCTGATCTTTATCTGCTACTGAAGCACGATTAATAAAACTCAGAGACAGATATTGGGGTTCAACCTGAAGGTCAGAAGCCACTGGCTTTTTACCTTGACCTCAGTTCAAAAATGGTGGTCCTGCCTCCAGGAAACTTCAGCATGAGACTGAGAGCTGTTTCCTCCCATTTTATAATCCTCTCCAGTTCTGGGATTAAGGGCGTGCACCACTACTGCCTGGTTTCTATGGCAAGCTAGTGTGGCTACTGAGATTAAAGGTGTGTCATTGCTGCCTGGTCTCTAAGGCTGGCTCGTGTGGCTGTTTTACTTTTCTCACATTCAGGCAAACTTTATTTATTAAATAAATAAATAACTTGTATTTATTAAAATACAAATGAAATGCCACTACACACTATTGCTGGCTGTCATCTAGTATTCTCCAATTTAGCTGCAGCATAAGAAGCTGGGCTGCATCTTTTCCTTAATTTCTTCTTCCCAATTTGTAAGGTCGGATCTACTGTTTTGCCTTGTTGCTGAATGTCTGCTAGGTGACTCCATCATTGAATGGATGTTTAAATGCTGCAGAACTGAACCTATTATATTTGTTCAACTTATATTTCATAATAGAGACTACATTATTCTCATCCTATTTCCTATCACCTCCCAGGACCTTAGTTCATATGCCAACTGTTTATGCAATAATATTATGGGATCAGTCAGTCAAAGGAAAAAGATAATTGCAAGAACTATCTCGCATAGAGATAGTCACAGAATAGTCCAGATGAAATTGTTTCTTCTCTCTGCTCTCCAAGGACCTGAAACAGTTGCTCTTCAGTATCTACTTTAAATATGTGGCGGTGAATATGTGTGTGTGATGTCAGCACCTTTAAACAATAATTTCAACATAACCTTTGCATCTCTCGTTAGCAGAACCTCATGGTGGGCACCAGGTGCTTAGTGCAATCCCCTGAGGATCCCCGCATGACATTTGCAGAGCTCAAGCCATTGCAAATATGTTTCTTTCATGGCATCAAGTGGATATTGTGTGAAAGACTTAGCCAAATGTCAGGCAGTCTGTGAGCTTCGATGCTTAGTGTAGCCAGAAGATTTGAAGCTATATTGAAAGAAAAATAAATTACTTGGATGTTGTTAAACAGCTGGTTGGTAATTCATTTAGATGAAGCCCAAAGCACTTAAAGTATATTTTAACAGAGGCAAGCTAGGTTAGAGGCAACAGACCCCTCACACCAAGAGGTCGTTAAAGCAAATGCACTATGTCTCGTGTTATCCCCTGTGTCCTTTTCCTCCATTTCCACAGCACCAGGAATTTCAGGGGCATTGCTCATGGAGTATGCTTGTGGATGTAATGCCTCCAAGATATTCTCAGACTTGATGACTTTTTTTTCCCCCTCAGAATAAATATTTGTAACATGGCAGCGGGTGTTGATGGATTTTCCTAATCACACCGCACATTTCCAGATATGTTATTCCTTCGGTACTTTTTCTTGTTGACACGTTCTGCTGAAAGTGGCTGACTATTCTACCACGGCTTCTATCAAGTCCGTGGCCATTCTTCCTTTGAATAAATGGCACGCTGAGGGACGTGAAGCCCCTGGCAACATTTGCAGAGGCGGCATAAAACACCTCTCCCTGTCTATGCGGGGGAGTTTTTTTTTCCTTTATTTTGATTGGTAATGTAGTGGTCTAGAGTCCAGAAGAGTGATGCTCTGTCTGTGCAGTAGCAAATGAAGATACCAGGGTAGCTGGGATTGATATACAAACGTGCTGTTTCAGGCTAGGGCTCTCTCTGGTGTGCATGCGTGGAGGCAGCTGTTTTCTTCTAGGGAAAATGAAAAGTGCTGGCATTAAGGTAACTGCAAGCATCACAGGGAGATGTTTGTGGTGAGAGTGAATCGATGTTTCCATTATTGTGCCTTTGATGAAATGCACTAGCAATTTCTTTAGAATCAGTAAGGCTATCTCCTTACGTTGTATGTATTACAAAAGATCTAATTGAATGATATTTTAAAGGGATGATATCCAATTGCTTTACTTTTCAAGCTGATGCCCCAGAGCTGCAGAAGACTTGCTAGCAGATCTAATTTGGAAAAAAAAAGGCACTGATGGAAAAATCATGAGGCCTTTGCTTCTTCCTTCAAAGTCTTTTCTGCTTCCAGAGGAGCAGGGCTGGGGCTCTTGACCAATTCCTTTTGCTTTTTGCATTTTGAGCTATCCACTTCTTCCTAATTCTTTTGCCAGCTCCTGCTGTGGCCTCCCTATAGACTCTCCTACCCCCTTGCATTTTGAAATAAAAGGCCTCAGTACTTAGGAAACACTCAGGATTCATTCCTGGCGATAGGAATCTTTGGAGGTATTTTATAGCAAGCTTTGAGGTTGAGGAAATGAAAGGCAGTAGTAAATCATAGTTGTCCAGATGGAAATGATAAAAGCAAGGCTACTTCCGTCCTCTCATCTCGCAAACAGGCTTCCTTTTCGTGGGATGCTGTGTTGTCTTGTAAGGGATAGGTTCCATCCTTCTACCAGCCTGCTTCTCCATTTTTAGCTAAGACAGTTTATATTGTGTTCCTTTGGTTTAGCTGGAAGGCCCAATAATCTTACTAAAATAGCATTTTTGAAGGAGTTTGAGATAGATTTTGAAGACGGGGGCTTGTAGAACTAGCTGCTGTCCTCGTTTTATAGAAGCCGCATGTCTAAACATACCTCAGGCTGACAAGGGGCTCAGTGTGGTTCCTTCAAAAATGGGCACATGCTTTGTATTCACAGATGCATAGCCCCCTGGCATGGGGACGCACTCATTGTGGGGGAGAGTTAAAAATAGACATTTTTTTTCTGCATGGGGATCAGGATTGCAAAGCTTCTATGACTATCTTTGTGGCGAGATGAAATTAGCCAATTCAGCTTGTTTGGGAGTTCGGAAATGAAGAATCCAAAGAGATTTCAGATTCCATTGTTTTCAGGCACTTTGGGACTATACTCATCTAGAATTGCTGACATTTCAACGTGAAAAGCACTTTCTTAAATATTACCCAAGGTAATGAAAATTAACTGTTACAGTATTTGGGAGCTGGCATGAAACTAAGGAGTTTCTCCACCCACTTTCTTCCTCTCTCCGCACCCACTCCTTCTCTCTCTCTCTCTCTCTCTCTCTCTCTCTCTCTCTCTCGTGTGTGTGTGTGCACGAAGATCAGAGAGATTGCCTCCTCAATTGCTCTCCACTTTATTTTTAAAACAAGATCTCTTCATCGAACCTGCAGTGACCATTACTGCTAGAGTGGTTGGTCACGGAGCTCTGTGGCCCCTCCTATATCCACGGCCCCACCTACCTACAGCTAGGTTTAAAAATGACCTGTGGTCACACCTGGCTTCCACGGTTAGCTTTACTGAGCTTTTGCTTGAAGCTGACTGCTGAACTCAGGTCATCATGTTGGCACAGCAAGCACACAGCAACAACACCCACTGAGGCATATTCCCAGTGCTTGCTAATATGATACTTTCTTAGTATAAATTATATTAACTAATTAAGTAATGTTAGGGGGGTCAATACAAGGGTTTCATGTATGCAGGGCAAGCATCTAATCATCTGAATTACATCCAGACACTCTGATTTTCATTTTAATTGATCAATAATCCATTAATAATTACAGCACAGTGTGAATCTCAATGTGTATACTTCTAGTCTATTGATTAAGTCAAGGCATTTAGCATATCTACCTCTTTCAGAGCTAAGATTTCTATCCTAGTGAATGACAGGTTTTCTGGATCACCCCTTCTCAGCCACAAAGTAGCTGCTGGATCGAGGAGCTGTTTGAGCAGCGGATGCAGCTTTAGGCACAATGATGCTAATGTGAGTATTGGTGCAGAGCGTGCATGTCCCATGCAAACTTTGCCAATTGGACCATACCTGTGGTTGCTATGCCAGGTCAGGAGAAGGTCCTGGAGAATTCGATGATAGCTGTGTTGTTGTGCAGGGCTTCAAAATTCAAAAGGAAATTTAAAGTTGTGCTTCTGGAATGTGGGATACAAATGAAGCTGTGCCTTTCATTTATATTCTCATTCTAAACCCTCAGATTAAAATGTAATTGTATTCAGATCCTTCGGGATTAGTAGGTGATGATAACTTCCTCAGTAGCCATTGGCAGAAACCGGCTTTGTGTCTCTGCATCTGGTGGGGATAAAGCTGTTGAGGATTAGCTGGGAATGGCCGTGGTTTTGAAGCTTGTCATCCATGGAATAGAAATAGACCAAAAGACATTTTTTATTTAAAGAAAAATTTGGCGTTTTCATTAGACCATCTCCTATTCTCATAAAAATGGATTTGTGTATCATTTAAGA